ACGCACACACACGCAGAAAGAGAGATCAGACATCACGCTGCATACACACAGAAACATTCAGGAGAATAGAAACTTGTTTTTAATGCTGTCCTGTGTCCTGAGCTTAGATCCTGGATTAGGGTAAGGGATAATGCATGGCTAGCTGTGCATTAAACGATTTTAATGCACAACGTGGAGGCAAAGAACCACTCGACGTGAAGTGCATTAAAATGGTTTAATGCACAGCTAGCACAGCACAGCTAGCTTTTGTCTTTTTGTGAGGACTTACTTGGGAATCCTTTTTCCAGCAATTTGTGGTCATCTTACGTCATCGCAAACGTGCACAACGTATGATAGAAAACAGAACGTGGGTCAATGCATTGTGCGTTTCTAACAGTAGAGCTAATAACTCTTTCTCTATCTGTGCGTAGCCCCGTTCTGTGCGTGTTAGTGCTCTGTTTGTTAATGCTACTGGCTTACTTCCTTGCATGAGTGCAGCTTCAAGGCCTCCATCCGAGGCATTACATTGGATGGTAAGTTCTTCATCAGGGTTGTAATACTTTAACACTGGAGCATTTGAGATTGTTTCTTTTACTTTACAGAATGCCTCTTCATGCTGCACAGTCCATCTCCATTTACAGTCTTTATGCGTCAGCTGTCTCAGGGCCTCACACTGGTCTGAAAGATGTGCACAAAACTTTGAGAGGTAATTTACCATCCCTAGTAGTCTCTGAACTGCTTTTACATCTGTTTGTTTTGGCATGTGTGTTATTGCTCAAACTTTGTCTGGGCCTATTTTACATCCATCAGATGTCAGGAGGTGTCCGATGTAAGAGACTTCTCTTTGTCTCAATTTGAGCTTGTCAGCATTTAACTTGATACCTTTCTCTCTGCATCGCGCTAGCAATGCTTTCAGTTTTTCATCATGGTCTCTCTCAGCTGATTCTTGTGTCTCTCCTTGTCCTGTAATGAGCACATCATCGGCAATGATGTATATTCCTGGCAGGCCCTCTGATGCAAGTGTGAGCTTCCTCTGAAAGATTTCAGGGGCCGGAATTATGTCCATGGGCATATGCAGCCATCGATACCTGCCGAACGGGGAAGAGAATGTGGTGAGATAGCTGGATTCTTCCTCCAGCTTGACGTGCCAGAATCCACATTCAACATCGCACACAGTAAACACTTTGGCCAGGCAAAGGTCAGGGCAGGCAGCAGACAATCATAAAAACAAGGAAACAGTCCAAGGTCCAAAAACAGGCAAGGCAAGGCAAAAACAAAGCAAGACAAAAACAAGGCAAGGCAAAAACATGGGAACGCTCAGAGGTGTCCGCTAAACAGCTGAACAAGACTTCGCAATGTGAGTGGGTGTGTGTGCAGCTTAAGTAGTCCTCCGGATTGGAACTGTGGTGTAATCTGCTGCTCATCTTAGGAACCACACTCAGTCTTGGGTTTTTGATGCCAGGAGATACACTTTATTACATCATCAATGATAATAAATAATAAAGCGGAGATGCTCTCTGCAGCGAAACATCTCCGCTTTATTATTTATTATCATTGATGATGTAATAAAGTGTATCTCCTGGACTGAGTGTGGTTCCTAAGATGAGCAGCAGATTACACCACAAATTGGCGACCACGAAGGGACTGGTAAAGAGCAGAGGAGTGGACGACCACTTTGGGCTGGCTTTTAGCGAACAACACACAAGACAACGGTGGCCACCGAATAGGTAAGCAATTTTGCTTATATAATTCATTTGTGTTGTTTGCTGGTCTGCTCTTAGTGGTAAGGACACTTAAAATCTGCGATTTAGGACCAATGATGAAAAAGGCAGAACAAAGCAAGTGGGAACCAACAGAACATCCATTGAGATTCATTCAGCTAACAAAGATTATATCAACATTTTGTGTGCAACCAGTTTGCTGGGAATTCCTCAAGAAGTAGTTATCGGTCAAAAGAAAATAACACAGATGACTACAACATCCGAAATAATAAACCAAAATGAGACTGAGTAATATAAGAAAATGCAGCGACAGGTACCAACTGATGGATGGTCTCAACATGACACAGATATAGGATTAATAAAATCAGCAAATCCAGTAAGAGTAAAAAGGAAGGGGAGGACATATTAATAAATATAAAACAGGCAAGAAAAATATTAAAAGAGGCAGACGAAGAAAAAGGAAAGATTGTTATCTCAGCCACCCTCCTATTTGCCCATAGAGAGAGAGGTCACAATCCTCAAGGGAACAGTAGAAATTCAACTGGAGAAATGCAAATAGAAGGACCAGTAAAGCTGAGAGTTGGAAGAAAAAAAGGAACCAGCTGTGAAAAAAAAGAGGCAAGAGAAAAAAGAAAGTAAA